ACACATTATAGTCAAACTGGCAAAGCTCAAAGACAAAAAGAGAATTCTAAAAGCAGCAAGAGAAATGTGTCAAGTCACCCATAAGGGGGTCCCAATCAGACTAACAGCAGACTTCTCAACAGAAACTCTACAGGCCAGAAGAAAATGGGATGATATATTCAAAACACTGAAAGAAAAAACTGCCAGTCAAGAATGCTATACTAAACAAGGTTGTCCTTCAGAAATGAGGGAGAAATAGTTTATTTCCCAGACAAATAAAAACTGTGGGAGTTCACTACCATATGACCAGCCTTGCAAGAAATCCTCCAGGGAGTCCAGCATCTAGAATCCAAAAACTATAATCACTACCACAAATACACAAGTAAGAACAAAACCCACTGGTAGAACAAAAGTACAAATGAGAAAGAGAAAGAAAGTAAACCAAACCACCTCAAAAAACCAGCAAACATCAAAAACAAACAATAAAAGGGGAAGAAAGGAACAAAAGATATTTACAAACATTAAAGACAAACAATAAAAGGGAAAGAAAAAACAAAAGGTATTTAAAACATTTAAATGAAAATTCATAAAATGTCAGCAATAAGACAAAACCTTTCAATAATAACCCTAAATGTAAATGGATTAAACTCCCCACTCAAAAGACACAGACTGACTGATTGGATTAAAAAGCTAGACCCAATTATATGCTGTCTTTAAGAGAGCCACCTCACCTGTAAAGACACACACAAACAGTGAAGGGATGGAAAAAGATATACCATGCAAATGGAAACCAAAACAAGCAGAAGTAACTATTCTTATATTAAATAAAATAGACTTAAAACCAAAAAACATAAAAAGAGACAAAGAAGGTCACAATATAACGTTAAAGGGAACTATCCAGCAAGAAGACATGAAAATCATAAATATATATGCACCCAACGCCAGAGCACCCAGACATATAAAGCAAACACTATCAGACCTAAAGAAAGATACAGACCCCAATACAATAAAAGTTGGGGACCTGAACATCCCTCTCTCAGCATTGGACAGATCACCTAGGTAACAAATCAACGGAGAGACACAGGATTTAAACTATGCTTTAGACCAAGTATACCTGGCAGATATCTGCAGAACATTTCATCCAACAACTGCAGACTATACATTCTTCTCATCAGCACATGGAACATTCTCCAGGACAGACAGGACACAAATCAAGTCTCAACAAACTTTTAAAAATTGAAGTCATTTGAAGTATCTTTTCAGAGTACAATGGATTAAAACTAGAAATCAGTAACAAGCAATA